TGAGATTTAGGATCTTGCAAGATGACTGTTTTGTTGCAGGAGGAAAGTTCATTTGTTATTCATTATACAATATTTGATTTAATCTGATTGTGCAAGATTCAAATATTTCTACTCCGAAGTATTGTAGAAAAGAACTACATTCACAGGTTAAAGTTCACAATATTTTCCACAATAAAAAAAAATAGGACTGATGTCATTTAATGCTCTCATTTGTAATTGAATTGCTATAGAATATACTGCAAAGATTATGGTCATTAGATGGCAGCATTTTTAGCACTTTTAAAGGAGGATTTTTAAAATTTTTCAGACATTTATTTCTAAAAAAGCTATTATCACAATAGGAAGCTCAGCATGCAGCCCTTTAAAAATGTGAAAATAACAAAAATGAACATAAAAATCATTATCCCTTTTCAAAAGCACTGCACTATCATTTTGTGAATTGTTTTCTTTATAAGAGTGTTTTCTTTTCCCAGAATTTTATTTTTTATTAAAAAAACCTGCAAAGTGTTGAAATACGTCTATTTCTTCCTATAGCCAGTTACAATATCACCCCCATACATTACATAAGAGGTTAATATGTTTGAAGTGTTTACAGGATTTAAGTTTTTTTAAAAACAAAACCACGAATTCTCCAGTTGCCTTGCACTTCCTGATACTGTATCTATCATGGTGCTAGCAAGCAATGTACCTCTCATTTGCATCTGACATATATGACAAAATTCCTCTTACTGCTTCATGTATGCTGCAATTTAGCTTATTCTGTAAATTTGGTTTGCCATGTGGACTGAGATGGTGTATCAGATTAATTCCTCTTCTTTTAAAGTATTAAAATCTATTGCAAAAATCTGAAACCTGTTTTTGTCAAGCAGAAAAATGTGATGTATAGTTGATTTCTGTTTCAAAATTCGGCCCAAGAATCATTTTATAAATAATGGATTTATGTAACATGTTAAAACTTATTTATTCTACTTCTGGTTTAGCATGTTTGGTGAACCTAGTTACTGAGACAACAAAACATGAAAAATATTCCGGAGAAACCGGAAGCATCACGGCGAGACTGGCTGGAAATTAGCAGGCTCCAATGAGCCCGGCGAAAATCCAACCAGACAAACCGCTGTTGGGAGGTCTTTGGACCAGAACCGTCTTGTAGGGACGGTGAAGAAGGAGAGGCGCCTCGGACGACTAAAAGGAACAGGCAAGTTCCTCAGAAGGTCGGAGGCAGCTCTTCGATCTGGTGGCGGCCATTAAATACGACTGCTTTGAAGCTGGGGCAACTAGAATAAGAGTTTGTGTAGGAGCGGTGTTTGGACGGAGTACTGGTACTGGGTGAGTGATTGGCCAACTCACACATAAAAAAGGAAATTTCTTTAAAAAAAATATTTTTTTAAAAAAAGATCCCAGCAAGGAAATAAGCGGCTAATTGGCACTTGGGAATTTTAATGGAGGGAAAAGAACAGAGGAAGTATTATCAAAGTATTAAAGCCCAGAAAAGATAATTTTATATTTGGATTTAAAATTGGACTTGGAGAAATTAAATCCAATATAAGAAAAGGAAACCCGAGGGAAAGTATTTTTTAATTTTTGAAAGAATCTTGACAGTTCTGAAGTATGAAGAAAGAACAAAGAGGAGGTTAACATATTAAAGCCCAAGAAAGGAAACTTTACAACTGGATTTAAAACTGAATTTGGAGAAATTAAAAACAAAGGAAAAGCAATTTGAGAGAAAGTATTTTCTATGTGGATTTAAAATACTTTTGTAAACTGGATACTTTGTTGTTCTGAGAAGTGTGGATTGGAGAGAGACATCTGCTGGTGGAAAGAAAGCACAACCACGATTGACCTGAAAATTCAAGGAAATTACAACAGTGACCTTGATCACTCCAGGAGCTGTGAGAAATTTTAAGGAGTATTTGTTTTGTTTTAAGCTGCTTGGTCTCGACTTCTAAAGGAGGTGGATAATAATAAAGCTTTAAGTTGGAGTGGATTGGACAAACATTTGTACTGGATATTATCTAGAAATAAAAAAGAGATTATATGGACTAAAATTTTAATTAAATATAAGTGGAGATACTAATAATCTTTTAAACTAATAATATAGAGTCTTGGATGTGTGAGGAATTAATTGAGATGCTTAAAAACGTGTGTGACTCAATAAAGGGCAATAAAAAGTCAGAAACTTTATTAGAGCACACAAAACAGGAAAAAGAATATAAATGAGAAACAAGAAAATGATATTGAAATAAAAAGAATTGAAGGCAAAATGTTAGATGATTACACTGGGATTTACAGTGGCAAAAAAAGAATGGACGGAATATTTTCCAAGAAAAAAGCAATCTAAGGGAAGAGAAGGAAATGGGGAAAGATTAGATAACAGCAGGGGACGAATTATGTGAGTGAAGTTTGAGAAAGGATTCAGGAGAAAAGATATAATAAATATATATATATAAAAGAAGAAGATAAGAAAAGGGGATGAAAGGAGAAAATCATTAAGAAGTGGAATTTTGGTGAGACCAGGAGAAAATGGCTAAAAGGGGAAGAACGGTGGAAAGGAGGAAGGGAATTAAGATATATATTAGTAGATCTAAGGGAACTGTATTAATAGTAATTGTGAATGTAAAAAGTAAATATGATGAAGTTTATTGTGTATTGTAAAATGGAATAGCAGATGAAATATGAAGTGGTACCCTGTTTCCCCTAAAATAAGACATCCCCTGAAAATAAGCCCAATCGGGCTTTTGAGTGCATGCACTAAAATAAGCCCTCCCTGAAAATAAGCCCTCCCCGAAAATATTTGACTGCATGCGCAGCTGGTCCCCGCCATTTCCTCTGGTTTCCTCCATGTGCCCCAAAATAATAAGACCTCCCTGAAAATAAGGTCAAGCGCTTATTTTGGGGTTCAAAAAATATAAGACAGGGTCTTATTTTTGGGGAAACACGGTAATTAGGTTTAATTATGAAAATAATTGAAATTAAGATACAAAATTGAAATGTAAAAAAAAGTGTGATGAGGATTTTGAAATATTTTGTAAATGAGGAAATAAAATAATTAATTGATGCTATAATAGAGTCAGGAATTAAGGGCGGAGAGTGATATTGCTTATTATGTATTAAGAAGAGATAAGATGTGGAAGATCAATTAAGTTAAAGGGTTTCAATGTAAGAATTGAATAAGATGAAGTTTATTGTTTATAACCAAAAAATATGATGGGGATTATAAGAAATATATTTTATAAAATGGAAAAATAAGATAATTGAAGCAATGCTAAGAAATTAGGATTTGAAGGGCGAATAGTGATACTGTTTATATATTAAGTATTAAGAAGAGATTAAGATAAAATAATAGAGAAAAAAGAATATTATGGCAGAAAACAAAATATGTAAATTGTATCTGGAAAAAACAAAAAAGTTTGGAATAGATTATAAAAATCAATATAGATTATAAAAATCAATATATAATTATGTTGTAAAAGATGTGACCCAGTCAATACTCTGTTCATAAAATATGTACGTAAAAGAAAAATTTAATAAAACTTGTCTAAAAAAACCATGAAAAATATTCCTTGAGGATGCTCTATGTATTAATTTAACTGTAGCAATATTTCAGATAACAGACATGACAAAAATGTTGCTACTGTAGCATTAGGGATTCAACAAAGCCCTTTTTCATTTTTGCAGCGCTAGTATAAGATCTCCCAGCAAGTATCTTCCCATTCGTAGAATACTGGTGCCACCATGTGGTAGATATTTAACATGGAAATGTCACCAGACTCTATGCAGCAAGAAGAAACATTTCATTCTGTCAAATTGTTTCCCAGGGAAACAATGTACTCAAGGGAACAGACTTGGTTAATAGGAGGAGACATTTTTTTGGAAGAGAGCAATGACAGCTGAATTATCCAGCAGAACACAGAAAGTCATCTTTTGAGATCTCTAGCCCCAAATTTTCTTCACTGAATTAGGCTTGCTCTCCAGCTAGCTAATAAAATGACATGCAAGTGTAAAATTAGACACAATACTAGTCTCTTATAGTCATTCACCTATGGAAGCTGTGCACTCCTACTCTGTACATATTTGCTACCTACAGCATTTAGAAATTATGAATGTAGTCTGAAGAATGGGTTATGCAACAAAGCTACTTCTGCAGTGAAACTGAAGTCACTGAAGTTTTGTCAATGTTGTGTACTACTGATCTTTATTTCTGAATGTCCAAACTTTTACACAGATATCCAGAGATGAAAAACCTATACATGTACAATTCACAAACATGAATTGATGTTTGGTTGGAGTGGGAACATTATGGGCAGTAGGATATTTAACAGGAAAAATAAATATGTTTGCTTATACAGCCAGATACTAACAACCTTCAGGCACTGAGATAAAAGTTCATGGCACCTGGAGTAACAATGGATAACTGAGCACCATACTGATTAAACCTTACTGAACACTTCCAAATGAACTCCAGAGGTTTCATGTATTTTTAAAAATAGTGATGGAAACAACTGACCCATGTGGCACCAGCCAGTAGTCTGTTTTTCTCCATCACTAATAAGAAAGCAGTAAGATATTAACTTTCCATAAATAAATACTTGTAACAGAATGACTAACCTGTCTATTCCACAATAATGCAACCTTACTTGCATTACATTTCAGATTGCTCTTACATATGCTTTTTTTAAAATACTAAGACATGCACTTAAAAATTCTACAAATTCCAGAATTCAGTGCAATACATAACGTATAACAACAAAATTCAAGTGATTTCCCCTGGAACTTTAAGAATACTGGGGAGAAGACTGAATCCCGAGAAATTTAAATCAAAGAAAAAACAAACCTCACCTAACAATACTTTCTTTTAAATTGATACAGGGAAACCAAAATCACTGTAGCATTTTAACAGCATTCATGTCATACTTAGCTTGGTTAAGGTTAAGCTACAAACATGCCCTTTCCCTGGGAGTTGTCCATCCTATGAAGGGCATGTAGCTAATAAGCTGACCATCTTTCACACAGCTTATTTTTATTTATTGAAATTCAGAGGCAGCCCAAGTCCAAACAACCCTGGATATTTTACAATTAAAATTAAAAGGAATCATAAAACTGAACAGAAAAGCAGGCATATTGCCAAAAAGTACAATATAACAAAAGGCAACTGATTGGTTCAATATCCACCCTACTCCCAAGCCTGGGAGAACATTCTAAACTTGACATCTAAATGAGCGGTTTGGTACATTATAGAAACCAGAGAACAAAACATGGCCTATTCTCTATTTTCTCCTAGACAGATGAAAAATAAAGGGCCCACATTCAGATAGCATTCTTAACTAGACTAAATGATTCTGCGTGATTGATTGACCATATTATCCCAAGCGACATCAGTAATGAGTTGTGTTACAGTAGCTTTAGAAAAAAGATTAATAATGGAGGTTCTATACAGAAAATGTAAGATTACACCTATTAGAATGAGCCCTTTTTCATTAGCTATTGGTAATTCCAATACATATAATATATAAATTAAAATGCATGATTTCAATTCAATTTAAAAATTCAGTTTCCATTTTCCATTATTACTTCCTGCACTTTGACTATTTTTGTAATTAAGATGACCTGTACCTAACGACTGGCTTTTAATTAACAATGATCATGAAGTGAAAATTCAGATATTTGTAAACATTAGATATCAGTAAACATCAAAATCACAAATGTTTACTCTTTTATCCAGAACAGAGTAGAAAGCCATACATCACAATATGGTACGCTTCCTTCTCTCCCAATAAATCAGAAGCCTTATTCCCTGTTGTATTACACTATTATTTTACAGAGGACAAAATTCAGGATTATCTTTCCTTTTTCACTAAGGAAACTGAATTGCCAATTTGCATGGAATTGTGTGTTTCAAAGTATATGCACATACCAGTAATTGCACATTATTAAATATCAGTCCAAATTTGGTCAGGTTCAAATGGGTTGCAACTCAACAAGCAATATAAGCACTTCCATTGATGCATTTGAAAAGGGTATTTCATTTGTGCCAGTTTGAAGCCTACATATTGAGGCCATGTTTCAAGCCTACAAATTGAGAAACTTGGAAAGTTATTTAGAATGTGGTGTAATCAGGTGCCTAGAAGCCACTTTTGGTCACCTATGAGCATTTCATTCATGAGAAACACGGTCCAAGGCCACATAAAAACTCTTTTTATCATCCAAGCAGTGCCAGCCAATAGGGCCAATTTCACAGTCTGCACAGATCAGGAACTTTACATTTCCAACATCCTTGGTGAAACCAACATTTTCAAAAGAAAACATGTCCTCGACTAGCCAGTGGTCCTGCAAAACATCCCCTTCTAGGTCACCGTTTGTCACCAAAGCGGTCTTCTTCTTCATAGCAGGAAGAAACAGCTGTCAAACAACAAAAGACATTTGTTATTACTGAGCCAATGTAGGGAATTGGTGAGGATATTGGAGATGGATGGGTAGCCTTGGTTCAAGTTTCTACTTAATCACATTTACAGTGTGTCTTTGGGCCAAACTAACCCACGCTACTGCATTACTGAGAGTGAGAAATGAGGAGACCCCAAAGCCAGCTACTTTGGGATACAATTATGAAAGCAGCCATATAACTGGCATAATGGAGAGGGGAGCTCCAGGACGGCATCAAATACAAAGCTGGCAAGCAAAGGTATTCAAGTTGCTGCTAGATTCTAGGTCCTTGATTTAATTTCAGGTATATTTCATTTCCATGACTGCATCCCACTCAGCCATAGACTGGAAGGCCTAGGAGGAAAGGGATCCCTTTCCATTAGGGACCTAATCAAAACAATTTTCCATCCTCAGAAAGGTTAGCTTTGCTTAAATCCACCTGTCCATCAAGGAAGTGGCACCTCCGATTTCACCCGGGGCGGAAAGTTACACGGGGGAGGAGAGCCCTTTGGCTAGCTACTACCACGGACTACAGCACAGGCGGCGGGCCGAATACGCCCTACCTCTCTGCGTGTGAAGGTTGCAGCTCCGGGCAAAAGGACGCGGGAGCCACAGCGCTGGCAAAGCACGGTTTTACGGTTCCGCCCACTCGCGCACACAAGCTCCTCCGGTCCCAGCGCAGCCGCTTCCATCGCCGAACTGGGCGCCGCCATAGTTACGCAAGCGCAATAGAGCAAGGGAGGGGAGCCTTCACGGCGGCGTTTCTCGACTTCAGCAACTTTAAACTGGGGACTTCAACTCTCCACCCGACTAGGGAATTCTGGGAGTTGAAGTCCACAAGCTTAACGAAGCTGAAGTCAGGAAATCCTGCTCTACCGGATAGGCGGGACCGGGTTACCCTCCCACCCACCACATTTGTGTAAGTGGGTGTGGCTACTGAAACCTGGAGAGGGGAGGAGCGGGGACTGAGCTTTACAGGTGCCTCTGCTGTGCTTGCCCCTGGAGTCCTACCTCAGATTTCAAGTAAACCATCAACGTAACAATCTAGTAATAACATAACAGTGTTGGAAGGGACCTTGGAGGTAATCTAGTCCAACATCGGACGCCGGAAGAAATTAAAAAGTAAAACTAGTGATACCGGCCAGTTTGATTCAATTCCGACAATTGCAGGGCTTCGACTTGAGGTCCCTACTTTACATGTGGCTACAGCTATACGTAGGTTTTAGTACCTATTAGGTGACTTGGGCAGCTCATAGACATAATAAAAAGCGGTCGGTTATTTATTAGAAGTTCACTTTAGCATAGACGCCAATTTCCCATAATTTCCTATGAAAATGCCACCTTCGCTTCGGAAGGAGCAAGCTGCAAATATTGATCCTGAAGTCCGGGTTATCGTAGAAAACGGTTCATTATGCCAATTCAATACGGTTTTACATACTGTAGATGCTAAACATCTTCAAAAAACAAGTGGTTTTAATTCTTAGTATTTTTATCAATGTGTGAATGAACTCATTGCATGACTATTATGGTGTAATCTCCTCTTTTGCTCTTTCAATATGTCATCATATGTCTCATAAAAGTCTCCAAAATTTTATTGTAATTACCAAAAGCAAATTAACAAACTATGCACCCAATTTGAGAGCTCCTATAATATAAACATGAAGTTATGCAGATAACTAATAAAATCCAGGAATTCTATAGATGTAGCTTAGTAGCGGTCTTAAATCTTTTCATGATGCTTAGTCCGAAAACTATTATGAAATTACTTATTTTCTAGTTGTAAAAAGTGTACTTCAATATTAACATTGTTGACTTTTAAGTAATAGCCATAGCAATATTAGTTTAGAGTTAATTTTCACAATAAAATCCCTTCTATATTAATGACGGTGATGAAGGTTTCAGTTATCTTTTTTTAAAAATGGAAATATGATTTAAAGAATGGTATTGTCTCTTAACGAAATAAAATATAAATTCAAAACCCAGAGGCCAGGAAAATTTAAAATCCCTATTATATAATCATAGCTGCATTTGGAAATCTAGGTAAGCCTTCAAAGAGTTATAAATGATACGCTCTTGGGCAACATTACATTTGGCCTTTTTTAAATCAGTGACATCTAGAAACTAACACAGTATTTAGTAAATAGTGCAAGTATAACCAACCTATATGGATATATCAAATATTTGAACCAGCCATCCTTTTATTAAAAAATACATATGAAAGGAATCAAACACTACTGTGATAGGTCAGGGTTTTTAAATCAATGTTATTTGAAAGTGCATAATTAGTCTATTGTATCCTCATCCCCAAAGCAAGGAGTCACCCACACCCAAGAAAATAAATACATTCATCCCTTGATTTCTGATTGGATAACACACACACAAAGCCTCAGTAGTTTCATGAGAGAAAATGCCAAGGTCACACTGAAAGCCACAGCACACAATTGAGGGATGGAGGAGCATTATCCACAGGGTTATGTTTCCACCAGGAAAGTGACTTGTCTTCACATATCTAATACAAGCTGCATTATATATCAGAGGCATATTAAGGAGATAGGGAGCTGGGAATCTTAGGTGCCACCACAGAGGAATGGCTTGAGCAAGTCAACAGTTCCGGCTCACTTTGGAGATGATTATTCAGAAATCCTTAGTGGATATGAAGGAGGTTAGCATTTCTGGCTGAAAGCATAAGAAATACAGAATAACAAAATTGAAATGCAAAAAATGTGTACTGACATTCATTCTGGACATATACACTGCAATCCCTTTATAGGTATCACATTTCAACCTTATTTGCAGTGCAACTTGAAGGTGACCACTGTAACTTTGGGAATCTCTTATGATTTGAAGTAATAACTCGTAGTGCGTGGGCACATCCGGTCCCTAAAAAGTACCTTGGATAGAGGTTTTCTTCAAAAGCATATTTATAAATAACTGCTGCACTCAAGATGCCACAGACATCTTTCATTGTTCTGCTACTGGCCAGAGTTTGTAGGTTAGAAGGCAAATGTAAACATAAACCTGGTTGTTGCTTAAGCACTAGCACATAATTTTTTTCTCTAGTGCATATTGATTCTAGTCTCTGGTATTTTTAAAAAATATTTAAAGATCTAGTGCTGCCTGCTTGCTTGCCTGTTGTTCTTCCCAATAGACATAACTGCATCTCCCAGCAGGTAATTTTCCTCTATGTCTGCCCCTTGCCCCACCTTATGTATTGCATATGTCAAGTTCATATACCGACATACATAATCTTTCATTTTCATAGATCAATTGCTTTCCAGAAGAACATGGACAATCTGGTGCAGAATCTGAAAAAATATCCAAAAAAAGTTTGGTCTGCTCATATGATGTTCATCAGCATATTTGGTATATGAAAATATTCAGGAACAAACTGAACTTTGGATGTGGTCAAAGCTCAATGACTATATGCTGATGATTAGAGACAACTCAGATTTTAGATATTCAGCAGGCAAACATTCTTGCAGCTCTGATGATTCATTTTTTACAGAGTTAGTCTACACAAGCATGCAGTTCATCCATTGTCAAGTCAAAGTGCGTTGGGTTTAGGTTTTTCTTCAAACCAGAATCAGTAGATTTGTTGATAATTTGCAGCATAGTCCAGATATTAAAAGTGACTTAATTCACAGCTACAGAATCAATAATTCCAAGTCAGGCAATGCTTTTTCTGGTAATTGTTCCATGGAAGTGCTCTTTCCCAAGCCTTTCCTAAAGTCACTTCTCCCGTAGCACACAAACACCAGCATCACAACGTTGGGTTCCTAGTGATGTCACCACTTCCCAGTTGTCAATGATAGGATCATAGCATTCAATACTGCTCAGGAGTGAGTTTCCATCATACCTGTATACAATAGAGATTTACAGATGAAACTTTGCTGAGGTCCAGATTCTTGGAGTCAGAATACCTTTGTCAAGAGGAAAATAAAGCTCTTCTAAGAGCTTTTTAAAGGTATTCAGAAATTAGCATAAGGCAAAGCTTGCTATACAGGTAGTCCTCAACCTACAACAGTTCCTTTAGTGACCATTCAAAGTTACAACATCACTGAAAAAAGTGACTTATGACCGTTTTTCATATTTACAACTGTTACAGCATCCCCAAGGTCACGTAATCAAAATTTGGATGCTTGGCGACTGGTTCATATTTATGACAGTTGCAAGGTCCTGGGGTCACGTGACCCCCTTTTGCGACCTTCTGACAAACAAAGTCAATGGGGAAGTCAGATTCACTTAACAACCGTATTACTAACTTAACAACTGCAGTGATTCACTTAACTGTGGCAAGAAAGGTCGTAAAATGAGGCAAAACTCACTTAACAAATGTTTCAGTTAGCAACATAAATTTTGGGCTAAAATTTAAAATCGTGATCATAAGTCGAGGTCTCTTATCTACTTTTACTCATACTATTACTATACAATAGACCAATTTTCATTTTTATAAGAAATTTAGGATAAGGACAAGTGCATTTAAAAAAAAAATTAAAAAATTTAAAAATGTTTTTTTAAAAAACAAACTATTAAACATATAAAAGCAAAATACTACACCATGTGTACACAAAACACATCTATATCAATATAAACAACACTACATAAAAAGAAAAAATGACTTTAGCCACATATCCGTTATCTTATTGACAGTGCATTTTTTTTTAAAGCAAGTATAATGGTAAATGGAGACTTTACTAAATTCTTTGAAATAAAAAAAGGAGTACGGCAGGGATGTCCACTCTCACCCTTACTTTTTATCTTGACATTGGAAAATCTATTGATAAAAATCAGAGTAAACAAAAAGATAAAAGGATTAAAAGTAAAACGAGAGGAATATAAGGCCCAAGCATTTGCGGATGACCTTGTATTCTTCATAGAAGAACCATTAAAAACAGGACCAATATTGATAAAAGAAATAGAGGAATTTGGGAAGGTAGCTGGTTTAAAAATTAATAAATATAAGACCAAAATGTTAACAAAAAATATAACAGGAAAACAAATAGAGGAATTAATTAAAGAATTAGGATTACAGATAGTAAAAAAGGTGAAATGTTTAGGTATATGTTTGATAGCCAGATGTGCAACCATAAAGGAGAATAATAATGTAATTTTAGTTCAACAAATAAAAGAGGATTTAGAAAAATGGGGGAAACTGAAATTATCATTATTAGGGAGAATAGCAGTGATAAAAATGAACGTCCTGCCGAGGCTGCTTTATTTATCTCAGACAATTCCAGTAAAATTGGACAATTTTTTTTTTGTAAATCTGAATAAAATAACCACAAAATTTGTATGGGAAGGAAAAAAGGCAACAATTAAATTAAGTATATTGCAGGACGACAGAGCCAGAGGTGGATTTGGATTACCAGCATGGGAAACATTATAAAGCAACGAGTTTGACATGGATTAGGGAATGGGTGAATTTGAAAAATCAAAGATTGCTAACCTTGGAGGGACACGATTTGATGATGGGGTGGCACGCCTTCTTATGGAACACCAGGAACAAAACACATAGGTATTTTTGCAATCATATATTAAGAGATTTATTAATTCATACATGGCAAGAAATTAAAAGTAAACACTATATGAAAGTTCCTGGATGGCTATCCACAATGGAGGCGATGATACACCCCAATACCCTGGCAATTCAAAAAATGGTAAGATATTATGAAATATTAGATCCCCAGGGAATGCTAAAAACACAAGAGGAACTAGGAGAGCAAGGAATACAGATAGACTGGTGGCCCTACTTACAGATAAAAACAAGATATAAAAAAGATCAAGAGGAAGGTGGAATTGAACTAAAACCAATCAATTGGATAAACTTTTAGAAGCCACAGAGGAAAAATTGATTTCAAAAATTTATAAATATTTATTGGAATTTGATTTAGCAGAAGAATTAGTAAAGGGACAAATGATAGCATGGGCAAGAAACATAGGACATAACATAGAATTGGAGGACTGGGAAAGAGTGTGGGAAAATAATT